GAGGGAGAGGGAGACGGAGCATGGAAGATGATGACAGGGCTCAGTAGGTCAAGCGAGGAAAAGAGCAATAGGGGAAGTAAAGGGAGTCGGCCATGTGCTCAGGTACGGATGTTTGCCCCTTGAGCTGCAGTGCTCCTTGTGCAGCAGTTATACGATTGCTGAGGGCACAGCCGACTGAACTTGAGATGGCTTTTGCAGGACCGCTTGAGGATTGCTTTCAGGAAATTGGATGGCACCTGGGTGGCGTCGAGCCTCTCAAGAGCCCACTAAATACACGGACTCTCCAACGCCATCCCCCACCCCATGATGAACCCTGACTTCAACCTCCTGTTTTTTCAGCCATCCTGCCTGCTGTCGTAGGCAAAACAAGTATTAACAGCATTTTCATCGGAGCAACCCAGCACCAAGAAAAAGGATGGTACTCTGCCAGGCCACCATGGCTCAAACTCATTCAAAATCTGAAAAAGAACGTATACTATCATCATGATTATACAATGACAAAAAGAAATAGTTCACAAAATATAATTGTTCATTGGTGGGAACTTCCCATAGCTAGTTCTGAAGCACCTAGCGAAGCTGACATTCCTCCTCCCTCCTGCGTCCGTTCCCGCTCATGCGCAAGTTGCAGTCTATGTGCCCTTAAGCTGCGTTCCTCGGTCTGAAAGAATGGGCCACAGACAAAAGACAATAAGCAAGGTGGAGTACAGGTATTAGCTCTCCAAATGATCCCACCTTTTTTTACTAATAATACAAAGACGCTTCTAGTACTTTGCCTAAGAATCTGAGTTATGCAAGAGAAGTAACAGGAGAGCTAGGTGATGAAAGAAAGATGACTACGATACCTTTGTCACACCCTCATGCTGGACTGGTACATGTGCTTCATTGAGAAGAACTTCGGAAATCTGAAAATTCAAAATAGTAACCTACCTCGAAAAACACAATGAGAAGCACATTCTGGAAGACTCCATCAAATACACAGCAAAATCACCTCCACCATCGCTCATAAACCCATTCAAGGAAAAAAGTGACCTGCGAAGCGTACTATTCGTGATGCATTCTGTAGATATAAAGCTAGGCTTCAGACTCAATAAGAGGGGAAAGTTAAGTCCAAGGGAGTTTAAGAGAAAAGGAACTAAACCAAAGAGACCGACCAATAGTCCAAGAGAGTTTAAGAGAGGAAGACGGCCAGGGAGCTCAGAACGGAATTGAAAGGATGCCACAGACTAACCGAGAATCTCAACGACATCCTCATATCCATACCACAGGAGTGGACAGCTTTGTTGAAAAAGAATACTCAATGGGGACTAGGCCATGGGTTACATGGAAACAGGAACAGGAACCTACCGAAGCATTCCGCATCAGGAGTCAAGAACCAGCAAGGAAGGAGTGGTTGAACGCAGATATGTACAACATTATGAAGCCAGGAAGTACCACCAGTCTCTTGGACCAGGACTCCAAGATCCCGGTCACCATCCAAACGCAACAAGTACAAAAAGTAAGAGTAGTGGAGACAGAGGACTTCACGATATTTAGCCCAACCACTCCAATAGAAGATCTAGAAATTGACCCGGGCGGAATGGGTGTGGAATCACAGAGGAGGGAGGTTGAGAATTTCCAGAAGAATCAGCATACTAAAGTATACAACACGAATTGGCTATCGACTAAGAAGGCGTCACCACCCTCTGCAGACCGTACTTACGAAGCGGTGGGAAAACAGAGTGGGACTCTCCCCGGAGCAATTACCGACAATACCATGGACAACGATCAATAGGATAAGACTTGGCCGGGTCAGAAGCAGAAGCTTGCAATGGCTAATTGCCCACGTCGCTCTGCCGGTAAACGCTTGGCTCGAGAAAAGAAGTCGAGCAAGACAGGACCCCTCCAACGCCTTGTGTTCAGTTCGCCAGCAGGGTTCAGTGGAAACAATGGAGCACGGCCTGCTGACGTGCCCAAAGGCAGAGAGCCTATGGGAAATAGCCAGAATCCTCTGGAAGCAGATGATGCAGAAGCCTTTTCCGCAAGAAAAAGAGACCCTGCTTCTAGGACACAACTGCCCCAGAGACTAGCCAGCCTTCGAGAAGCAGCTATTTCAGCTCATAAGAAAGTACACAGTATGGACAATTTGGAAAAGCCGCTGTCAGACCACAATAGGGAAGAGGCCGATGCACGAACAGGAAGCAAGGGAGGTCCTCCTAAGCCTAATGGAAACGGAGGTTTGGGCACAGTGGAAAAGAACACAGCGGCAGATGAGACAGCAACCGGACCAAGCACAGGATCTGAAAGACAGATTCAACCACAGAACCCTGGGGAATGGCAAAGTAGCAACTATCCGGGCCTCAGGCCTCGTTTTTTCGTGGAGACAGAGAGGATTAGAAGGCCGAAACAAAGGGAACGAGGAGTAGCAACAGTAGGGTTTAGGGTTTAAGAGAAGGATTAGGAGGAAAGAATGAGGGAAAGGAGAAGTTAGACAAGAGGAGGGTAGAGAAAGACTTACAGGGAATGAGGAGTAGCAACAGTAGGGTTTAGGGTTTAAGGCAAGGATTAGGAGGAAAGAATGAAGATAAGGAGAAGTTAGACAGAGGAGGGTAGAGAAAGATTGAGGGTTTAGTGCCTATTCAAAGGGTAAACAGGGAGTTAGATAGAACTTTTATTCCTTTACTGCTAATTGTTGGTTTTTAATGCAGTTGCGTTTTTATTCAGGAATAGCATGTATACAGATAGAAGGCAGGAGCGCAGGAACCACCCTGCAATACGAGCCTAATCTGGGTAATGGCCCCAGTCAACCGGGTTGAGATGTGGAGGGATTCCCAGCCTCCTTTTGCTCTTTATATAATGAAACATACCAGTTGTTAAAAAATATATGTGTGTGAGAGAGAGAGAGAGAGAGAGAGAGAGAGTTTTGCTTTTTATATAATGAAACATACCAGTTGTTAAAAAATATATGTGTGAGAGAGAGAGAGAGAGAACCAAATGCACAGTGCACCTTAAAGCCACCACACTTCCCGAGCCTATTTTGCAAAGCCTGTAGCATGCCCAGCCCTGACTTGGAGAACCACGACAAGGTAGGGCATGCCAGGGCGCCAGGTCAACAAGTGCCAGTACGCCTAACCACTCCACAGCCCTCTTGTGTACTGCAAGTTTGCAACCTCCACAAGACATCAGGAAGAGAGGTGGTTTAGAAAGACGGAAGGGAGATGTTTGCAAAACAGACTGATGGCAGCAGCTTTCCCACACAAGCTGGCATTCAGGTGATGTGGAAAGATGCATATGTGTCAGCCCATTTGAAACTCCACAAGGAACCTTTTCAGTAAGTCGTAGGGCCTCATTCCACTGCCTGCCCCTACCCTTCAGTGAAAATAAAAGGGCGGGTGTTCTCTTGCTATCTAACAGGAGCAATGTCTGCCCATTTTTTGTCCCTGAAGTAAGCATAATGTGGGGTAGAGGAATGAGGCCTGAATTTGATTCCCCGATACAGAAAAAGCCCTTTTAGGAGGATTGGCTGCAAGCTCACAGTGCTCCAAGTGCGGGTCCTATGTTGTAATACAGATAGCAGTAGAACCCAGATTAGCACTGCCAGCCACCGCCCCCCCCTCGACCAGTCGGCGGCCAACCTGCCGACCGAACCACTTGCCAGAGCCAACCAGTCGCGTGGTGGTCATCCCGCTGAATTTTCTTTCTTCACGACCTTTTTGGAAAGGGGGCAATTGGCAGGGGTCCCAATCTGGCCTTGTAGGTGGCCCAACCGGCCAGTGCAAGAAACCATGAATGACTGTCTTTCCCGCAGAACAGCGAAGCAACACGGACAACTTGTCATGGGGCAATGCAAGTGAGAGTGTGCACGCATGGAAGATGTGTGTGTGTGTGTGTGTGTGTGTGTGTGTGTGTGTGTGTGCGTGTGTGTGTGTGTGTGTGTGTGTGTG